TCAAGAAGATTTCCCAATGATGTTGACTTCTGTCACCCACTCAATGTAATGCTGAACTAAGTCTTCTGCAGTGACATCCAGATGTTTTGAACTCCTGCTACATAGATAACAGCTGTGTCATCAGTTTGATTATGATGGACCACATCCTTTCTCAACCTCAGCTAAATCAATGCAGTTATTACCTAAGCTTTGCAAGTGGAATCTGTATTTTTGGGTTGGGCATCACGCGTTTGACAGCTGGCTCTGTTTACTACTGATTAATGACTAGTATTTGGACAAAGGTAAACAAAAATTCTTAATAAATTGGAAGAGAGTGAAAATTATCTGGGGCCCATTACCAAAGAAAGGGTATAATATATCCAGCCAGAATGTGCACTTCTAAAGCACTAAGCTCACCAATTACAATACAGAAATGACAACAGCTACGGGCATTAAAGCTTGTGCCTTTGCTACTGCATGAGACAAATGTTTGAGCAAACTACGTTTTGCCTTTGTGCTGCTGCATATAAACTCTCTATACCCAACTTCCTGCTTTATGAAGTGTTTTCTTGACATTAATAATAAAAGTTAAGAAAAATGAAAGTAGCAGCCGTATTCACTCAGCAAAGCAGCATGTGCATATTTAATAGCCCATACCTTTACCCGATTCAAATATATTGAATTTCTCTGAAGTCTGATTTCTTTAATTATATTTCAAATCTAAAAAGACTTTTTGTGTTATCAGATACTAATTATATTAGACAGATTGCTATTCATCTACTTACAGCAATATTTATTTTCACTGTCATCACTTAACATCAAAACAGTATTACTTCATCATCATTTAGAGTGGAAAAAATACTACTTTTCTGTAAATTTTGTGTCTAGGTTGGTCCAGTTAAAGGCATGAGACACTCTTTGCTTGGTTTATATAATTAATGTGTATACATACTTTGCTTACTCTTAATCTCTAATTATGATACATTATACTTTCCATTTTTGGGCAAGCTTCTCTCTAAAGCCGTCTAAATCTTCTGAGTTAGGAAGATAATTTCAGAAATGGAGAGAACTAGTAGATTGAGTCCCACTGAGAGGGGGCTTCATAGAGGAAAAAAGGAAGAGAAGCCGGATGAAAATTTTGCAAAACAGAAAGACTGAAAATCCGTGAAGCAGAAGTGAAAAAAAAAGGAAAATATGTAGAAAAAGAATTCACAGTATGGCTAAGAAAAGAAAAGGTGTGGATCAGGTTCCACTCCTCTTCTTCTACAGAGGATTTCACTGACATCCTCTGCATTTTTACACAAGCTTGTCTGGAAAAACTGAATTAGCCATGGTATCTCTCTAACTTTGGGCATGTGATTACCATTGTTTCTCTCCATCACTGCAATTCCTCTGGGCTCAAGAGCTGCCTAGAAAAACAGTTGTTTAACAGCTGTGGAACTGGACTTCCAGAACCTCCATTAAGGCAGTGGCTACTAGCGCTCAGGGCACTTACGCCTGACTCCTTTCAGGTGACCTGGTAAGTCACGTTTTCTAGACCTTACTTCCTTGACCTGTGATTTAAAAGATTCTCTTGCGAAGAGGTTCTCTTCTCATGAAGATTTCTCCCCTCTAATCTCCTTTCCCCTCCCAGATCTTTGTGAACATACCTCCCCTTATATTAAATCTGGTATGTACTTGTATTAGAAACCTAATAACTCAGCTAAGAAGGCAAACTTATATGATAAATCAGCCGTAACAGAGGAGTCGGACAAAAAATTACCTCAATGCATTAGGCACAGGGGAAGGGATGAGAAATCAAAGGATGGCCCCAGATACATTTAGGAAGATATAGGAAAAAATACATCCTCTATTAAATGGAAGAATGCATCTCAGAAAACGGTAAGAAGTAGGTTTGCTAGCCCCCAGAGAAAGAGAGGGAAAGAAAGAGAGAATAATGTATAATTTTAGGAGGATTATGTTTCACTAGAGACATTCATGAATGTAATGAGCTAAAGAAGGGGTAAGACACTGCTTAAATTGAACTATACAACTGACTGTGCTACATTTGATAAAATAGCTGTGTCAGTCTCTTCTGTACTTAAATAAACTTAACTCTGAAATGCAGTAAGTTGTAATGCACTAAACATCATCACATAGTCTGTCACACTGCTCTCACTGTTTCACAAAACTCAGAAGCACCTGACATTTACCTTCTCTACTCCTAACACTAGAATTGCAGAAATGCAATTAGGAAAACAGTGGTACTAATAACAGAAAAGGTCACCAGTGTGCAAGCTAAACATGATAAGATGCCTAATATGCTGCCAAACATAACAGAATGCCTTCCTGATAATGAATGATTTTACAGACTGCTGTGAAGTTGTTGCAAGATAATCAGATCAACAGGGGGCATGCCACTACGCAAAAGACACATAGGAGATCATGAAATACTCTTTGATAGAGGTTTATTGCAAAGTCACCACTGACAGAAAAATCTTCCATTATAAAAGGCCATGTTTTTAGAAATAACCACCTAAATAAATTAGGTAGGAAACACAAGCAACAGAAGTTTCAGTATTTGGTAAGCACAGAAGCCATTGCTTCATCAAAGGCAGCACACTTTGTGCCTGCAGCCAGCAACCAATAACCCACCACCTCCAGGATGTAAAAGACATGTTTTTTTCCTTTTCTTTTCTTGCAGTAATCAACATAAGTCCAGGTTAGAAGGATCAGTTTTTCTGATTGTCTTTAATACAGAAATATTCACACAGCAGTACAGGCTCTGTGCTCCTCATGAACAGATCTGCTCCCTACTTGTGCCACTAAATCCTACATAAACTGATAGCGAACTTCAAGAAAAATGAAAAGTAATAAGGGGTTCTTTCGATAAATGACATTTCATCAACAGTGCCAGTAAATAGCTCATTACTGAAAACTGAAAGTAGCCCTTAATAGAAGCTTTCTCCCAGACAACTAAAGGCAGTTTAAACCTTTAGTAAAAATGTTTTGAGATCTTACAAACACCAAAGAAACACATATTTGTTTTACCAGAAATCATCATAGAAAGGTTAGAAGGGGCCTTAAAGATCATCTCATTACACTCCCCCCTGCCATGGGCAGGGACAGTTTCCAGTATACCACGGTTTTCAAAGCCCCATCCAACCTGGCCTTGAATACTTCCAGGGTTGGGCATCCACAACTTGGAGACAACCTGTGTCTCACCACCCCCTGTCCTGGGTTCAGCAGTAGCAGTCATTTTTCTCCTCCTTGGTAGCTGGTGCAGTGCAGTGTTTTGACTTTCAGCTCGGGAACAGAGCTGATAACAAGGATGTTTTGGTTTGGCCAAGGACTTTGTGAGCCTCATGCTCTGCCAGGGAGGAGGGGAAGCCAGGAGGAAGCAGAGACAGGACACCTGACCCAAACTGACCAAAGAGGTATTCCATACCACAGCACGTCATGCCCAGGATGTAACTGGGAGTTAGCCGGAAGGGCTGGGAGACTGCAGGGTTGGAGGAGGTATCGGTCGGAGCTTGGTCGGGCTTGGGGGGCAAGTTATCGGTCAGCTGGTGCTGAGGTGTTGTATTCTCTTCCCTTGTTATTTCCTTTATCATTGTTATTATTGGTGGTAGCAGTAGTGATCTGTGTTATACCTTAGTTACTAAACTGTTCTTATCTCAACCCGTGGGAGTTGCATTCTTTTCGATTCTCCTCTCTGTCCCTCCGAGAGCAGGGGGAGGGCAAGAAAGGGGAGGTAAGTGAGCGAACGAATTACCTGACTGGGTTTAAACCACGACACCCCCACAGTAAAAAATTTATTCCTAATGTCCAATCTAAATCTCCCCTCTGTCAGTATAAAGCCATTCCCCCTTGTCCTATCACTACATGCCCTTTTAAAAAGGCCCCTCCAGATTTCTTGTAGATTCCCCCTTAGGTATTAAAAGACTCTTATAAGGTCTCTCCTGAGCCTTCTCTTCAGGCTGAACAAGCCCAAGTCTCTCAGTCTGTCTTCATAGTCACTTGCTGAGGGTGCACTCATGAGCAAATAAAATCTGTATAGTCCACGTGTCTATTTATAGACTAAAATTTGCATTAGATCTTATAACTATCAATAAAATGAAACAAAGATGTATTTTTTAAAAAACTAGAGAAAAAAGTACCATCATGAGCTACAGTGGAGCTTTCACCTCTGTATTCACTTAGGTTGCAATTCAAATTACAGAACTCGTAATCTTCCAGGGATTATCACAAACATATCTGTTGTAAGAGAACATTATGTTTTCAGACTGGTAGATCCATACTGCAAACCTGTATTAAAGGCAAATGCAACTTTACATCATAGCTTCTTCTATACCTGAGATCTATCGATTTATTTCATGATCAGTGTCAAAGCCAGCTATTCTCTTCATGTGACACATATTGTTGCCTAATTAAGGAAATAAAATTAACTGTAATTTAATGTAAACCTTCATATTTTTTGATTTTATTAGAAGTACATTGAATTTAGGACATGACATATTTTTGAGGACTGACTGTAATGATAGGCCAGATAATGATCAGCTAACTTTTATAACATGAATTTTCTCAGTTGCAGACTATAACATGCGTGAAGAAAAGTACCTGATGTCCTGTCGTTCATGGTCTATGAAAAAAAATAAACCTCAAGCTCCCATCTGTCTGGTATTTCCATATTTCCCTTCACATATCCTTTTGTAACCAGCTTTATCTGAACATCGTGTGCCTGAGGCAAGTATTTATAAAACAATACCAATATACTGCAAAACATTTTTACAGGTGCTTACTTTGCAAAAAGTTCACAACATCAGTGAATATATTTTGTTTAAATGGTAGGAAGAGATGCTTGCCAATAAAAGGAACTAAACATACTCCCCATAGCTACATGATAGCATCAATAAAAGGGCAATTATACTTCCAGCTTTTCTTGCTTTTCTTTTGGTAATGCTCATAAGCAACTAATTGTATCATCTTGAAATGGTAGGTATGCATAACATGCACCAAAGAACTAATGAGAACACACTCACCATGTACTATCAGGACATATTCTGTGCTGTTTCGGCCAATAGGATTTTTTGCTTCACATCGATAGGTGCCATTGTCTGTTTTGTTTAGGAAACTGATGCTTAGGACCCTGCCATTGACAACCATTCTCTCTGGATCTGGTAGCTCTCCACCATCCTTTGTCCACAGTACTGGTTCTGGCCTGTTGGATCCAAAGCAATGCATTTAATCAGATACACGAAACATGTATATGCAACATATGCATCACAAACAGCAGCAACATAAACTTATGAATAGTAACTTGACATTAAAGAAAAAACAATGATCATTTGAGTTACTGGCTATAATAAGCTGTCAGTATGGCAGGGGGGTTGGACCTAGATGATTGTAAGATCCTTTCCAACCCTAACCATTCTATGATTCTATGACAACCTTACCATTTTGGATGGGAACTACTAAAGTGAAATAACAAGCAAGGAAAGGAAGAGAAACAGAAAAGGTAACAGAATGGTAGTGGATCAGACCAAGATCTTTCCTAAATTAAACAATAATTCTTGCAAGGTTTCAGGGCCCACAGTTTGGCAAGATGCTTGGCAGGCTAAGTGAAAACAGCTTTCCATTTGTGGGATGAGCGACATGGCCCTGTGTGTCTGACAGGCATCAGAAATCATGCAAGCAGGCAGAGGCAGATGTAAGTGGTTTGTAGAAGGATTCTAAAATTATTTAGACCATTTGCAAGTGCACTTGCATGTGCTGAGTGTTTTTCCTGAACCAGGCATATCAGTCTCAAAGTAGCACATCTTGCACACAATCTAAATTTATTTGCATTGCTGCGCTGTGTCACAGCCCGTCCCTTTTTCCACCCTTTCTGCACCCTTCCCTCAAATAATCGCTTGTTCTGCATGTTATCACAAGCAACATAAGATTTAACTTAAAATCCTGGATTTGCTTCTTCTGTGAAGCCTTTGCTCTTGTGCCTTATGGACTTGTATCAGGCAAGCCAAAGGCAAAGCACTGACAGCAGTAATGCCGTAGGCAAGTTAAGGGTGACAGAGAAGGGAACTGACTGTCTTGCAGATTCACACATGCCTTCCCACTGGCAAGTGATACCTACTCTTTTCTAAGGACTGCCAAGAAGCTCCACAGTTCCTAAGATTCACCTAACAGACAGCAGGATGTATTTATTACTGGTATGCAGTCTTTACTTACATGCAATAAGATCTACTTTCAAATCTACATGAGGGAAATCACCAAAAAGACAGGTTCGTGACTGGAGTGAAAAACTGGCTTACTGAATCCTGTCTGTCTCACAGATAGAGCATCTCAGGCCCTTAGATACTACTCACTTAGGCAAGATATATACAGCCTGGAGATTCACTATTACATTACTTGTACCTTGGAAGCTTTGAACGCTACAACCCAAATATCAATCCCTTTCTTTCGTGTGCACTACTTAAGTAATTTCAGTCAGAAGCAGCTCTGGATTTGCACATATATTTGGTAGGAGAGTATATTATTATATTTTCCTATTGAAGGATGCAATTACATGACTAAATAATAAAACAAAATAGAAAACACTGCTATAAAATCAGCAGATGCCAAACCAGTTGCTAATCTTACTCAAGAAATACTTAGTTTCATGAATTTAAGCAGGTTTTTAAAGCCTATTAAATATAATAGGTGTTAAGAATAAGAATTAAACCTAAGCACCTAAGGAGAGACATTTTGCCAAGACATGGCCTCATGCACAGAAAACCAGTTTTAATGACTTCCATGACATGATTTTCTTTTAAGTTAGGCAAGACATATAAACAAAATCATTATTTCTGAAATGCATTTACTGCTATATAATTGATATTACTTTTTGAGGTAAAAATACTGTAACTTATGTTTCTCTTGAAAGATAAGGGCAAATTATGCATATTTTAGCAACATCTGGATGCCACCTTATTAAATTGTTGCTGAATTTGTTACCTAGACTGGCTATTCTCTGAAGCTATGATTTTATTTAGAAAATCAGATACTCAGGGAACAAAACAAGATTCACACAATTTTAAACCAAAGATTATGAACTGTCTGTTTAATGGGCTTTATTTATACTTTACTGTAAATATGTCTTAATTATCTTCCTAAGTGCACTTTCACAAACTGATGTGTAAATACACCTGACACACAATATACACACTTCGTTTCTGCTTAATGTGAGCAGGGAACCTAGATGTCCATGCTGCTGCAGGAACATTGCCCTACAGAGTTCACAACATTAAGATGCAATTTGCTTTGATACGTTAAAGTGGATTTGTTCAATTTTCTACCAAACTCCTCATTGTTTCCCATTTACCAGCTTACTGTGAATCTGTAATCCCAGAAGTGGAAACTCTGAAACACTTCTGCTGCAATGTGCACCATTACCTTCATAAATGGCATGTTAAAGCAACTTCTGTGCAGTGGTAATTTATGGAACTTACATTTTAAATTGAAATTAGATGGCATATCCTAGGGGAAAACCCATAGGATAACAAATACGTATGAAATGGAGCCTTAGATATAAATTATTCAGGGAGCTTTGTCACACAGTAATATACCAACTCCAGTCTTACAGAGAGTGCTTAGCTACCATTGTGAGATGATGGTGGCAGAAAAATCAGGGCTTAAAGAGAGGCAGATCTCCATACTCTGCGTATTGGGGAAGCTGCTAATTAACAGTTAATATTAAGCTGTCCTGTGCTGGCTTAGTGGCAGCAGCAGAGCAACTTCTGGGCAGCCAGCCCTCGGTCAACACACCATGGTGGTCGGGCACAGCTCTCACTCCATCACACCGCTCTGAAGGAGAATGAAGCCTGAAGCAGCAGTTCTGTCACAGCCACAGAATTAAATTTTGCCTGCACTGCTGGGAGGCTGAGACATTCCAGTCTGAACAATTCATTAATTAGGCAGAAGTGAGCTAAGAACATGAGACATGCTTGTGAGCCCAGGCCAGCATGCTGCTGCGGTCAGTGACAAGGACAGCATGTGAGCATGGCTCTTTCCTGTGGTCCATTCCCCCTGTACTCTGCCAGCATCCGCAATCATTCTATAGGAGATGTCGGAGGGCACATCTATTGTTCTCCTTTGTATCTACTTAGTATTTAGACCTTTTGCCCATGAATATCTTTAGTATCTTTTTGAACCTGCTTATACTGTCTGTCAACCCAGCCTCCTGTAGCAATGAATTCTGGAAGCTCCCTACCCACTGTGCAAAAACTTATTTACTTTTATCTATCTTACATCTCCTAGCAGCGACAATGACTATTGCAGGATATGGTAAGTAACGCTTCTGCATATTGTAACCTTGTTATACGTTCTGATAGCCTTGTACTTAGTAGGCTTCTCTCTCTCCCTCTTTCCTGAATTTGATAACTTCTGAGACTACTGGCAGGGGAAAAAAAAAAAAAAAAAAAAATCTCAAGAAAAAAGGGTCAAGGAATCATAAATTTAGAGCATAATGGCTATTCCTTAATAATTGCTTTAATATCTTCATTGTTCGAACCACAAATGTAGCTATAGCATTGATGGGAAAGCTTTCATTCTGTGACACAAGGCACAGAGAAGTGTGGATTCCCCACAGTTTACCCTATTGAATCATGGGTGCCATATTGTTACCATATTGTTCATGAGTGCAGATCCAGGCAGAGGTTTTTTTATCTTACCCAACATTCTGAAATGGTTCTGGCTCAACTGGGGTTTATAGGTTTGACATTCTAAAACACATGATGAGTATGTTCACTGCTAATATTGCACATTTTTCTCCACTACATACATTTCCAATACTGCAGAATTTCAGCTTTTCTTCACATACTGAAGAGTTGCCAGAATGCTGTCTATTACTGTGGGGGCTGGAACAAAGAGGGTACCCCTGTGCCTTGAATTTGTGCTTACTTCTACGCTGAATCACACCACTTTAATCTCCATTCTTCTCAGACAATCTTGAAAACATCTTTCTCGGAGTGCTATAGCTATAAAGTCGGAATGAGCACTGTGGCCACTAATGCAATTGCATGTTACTACCTTCACACATTTCATGGCACAAACAAGCTCACAGACCTGCTCTGTACTAACAGAAGCATGCAGCCTGCTAGTGCCAATACAGTTACCCAAAGAACAAATTTGTCCTCCCTTTTTCCCCCCATCTTGGATGAGAGGTGCTTTTCTATATCCCTGGTTAAATCCTTCCCATGTGGATGCAGTTAAGCGGAAATGAGCTGCGCTACCACTGAGACGTTTCATTGAGTTGGGGGAGGTAGCAGAAGCAAAGCACCAAGATGCTGTTTTCTTCCCTAAAACACAGCTCTGCTTCTGGCTTACCTAGTTTAATTTGCTCCCAGTGTGACACCTTTTAAAGCAAAACCAAACAAATGAAGCATGCTGTACTGAAGAAATGATTTCAAAGACACAGCTCAACTGTGACAGCCCATGCTATTTCTTTGGCTAGTACATACTGCTTTTACTGATTTGGCTTTGCACACAGCTGCCACAGTGGCACTATCAGGACTGTGTTAAATGGAAAGAAGCCAGAGATACTAATCCCAAGCATACTAAACATCCTGAAGTACAACCAATGTCTTCTCTGTAAGTGCCCCAAAAGAAATTTGAACTCTATACTCTCCCTGAAGAACTGCTAAATGGGTTTAGATTTTGGGATAATTTACATTTAATCCTAGTAGAAAGGCCCAGAAGCAAAAAGGAACTGGTTTTGAGTACAGATAAATGGTTTTCTTAGCTGTCTTGATGTTAGCCTCAAAACCTGACATGAAAAGCAACAGAATTTGGTATTCTTGCCCAGCCAAACTGAAATGGGACTGCAATGAGGATATCAAAAATGGGTGTCATATTCCAGGACGCTTCATGTTTTGCATTGTGGAACAGGAATTTTCTTGCAAGGAACTTAACACAGAATCTGTAAGTAAAGCAAAATTCTTTTCTAATCCTGAGGCTAAGAAACCTTTTCTTCTACAAAAACTCAGAGACAAAGGTAAAGGCCAGCTGGAATGTGTTGGGGAAAGAAAAAAAAAAAGGGCTGTTTTAAAAAACACAGTCAGATTTGATTAGAAAACACTTGGGCATAGACTTACCTTTTCAACAAGTGCTTAAATAACACGAAAGTCAACAGTTGATACTTAAATCCACATTAATAATTTTGATAACCTAGGCCTTTAAAGTTAC